CTGAATCTTGCGCCGAACGAAAATTCTTTACTCAAATCTCGGACATAACTTCTGTAAACTTGTCATTTTGTACCAACCTTCGATACTACTGCCTACCATTGTGATGCATTCGATAATATTTATCCATTTTTGTGAAGAAAATCGATGGATTAATTTTATTTTATCAAAAAAGCACATGAACAAAAAAACGTCGCTAATTTTATCACCTATTTACAGGGGGTGTAACTCTGTATGTAATATTATAGGAGGCGCTAAGAGAGATACTAGATGATCGTGACAAAACTCGGTACTTTAATTTTATTCAATCAGTATCAAATAATGTGTCGTTAGGCGTGAAAACAATGATCAGGTTAGTCGTTTAATAAAACAAAAGATTAATTAACAGATAATCCCGGGTTGATTGTTATTTTTACATTTCTTTTTACCTGATCAGTGGGGGTCCAGTTAATTAACTACTACTCACGGGATTAGCGGGGTTGTTACAAAGAACGACAAGATGGTATCATTCAACAATGGCCATTGAATGGGCGATGTTTTGTTGAATTTATTAGTAAAATAGTGACCACTGGCCGCGTTAGAGGAGTCCCCGTTGAATAAAGAGATGAAACAACAGAATTTCTACGGGGGGAATTTATCGTGACCGCTTACAAGGAGATGTCGCTGAATAGGAGTGGCTGCTCATACAGATTCTACTGTATAATGTGTGGGTGTTGTGAGGTACATGTACATGCTTCTACGAAGATCACAGGATCAGTTGATTATACACACACAATATAGGGAATTTAGAATGTGAGTGTAACATGAAATAAGAGAGGAAACTGTTTGAATAAATATTTTAGTGTTCCCTCTATTGGTCTGTCCAAAATGTTGAAAGGTTTATTGCTTCTAGAAGTTATTGTGCATATTTACACTAGATACAAAGACATTTAAATCTTGAGATAAATGAACTGTTAATTGTCATGTATGATCTTTCTATCCTGGGAAAATATGTTAAATTTTCTATTTCAAACTTATTCTTCCATCATGTAGGCACATAAAAGAAGTCTAAAGTACTCATGGTACATATATTGCCTTACATAATTGCCTCCTTACAATTGTCAGAACCATTCTAGGAATATCAGATTCACATATTATCTGGCATTTATGTTAGCAATCATCCACCAACTCAAGAGATACTTAACCTTATCCTGCTTGTCCACCATATTAATGCTTGCTTTTGCCAATCGCTTTATTAAAAGACTGATAGTAGGGATCTACCAAGTACTGTTTTCATATGTGCATAGTGAGTTGTGTATCAGCATACCACTAAGTTCAGTTTGAGATTTCTAGTGAACAGTGGAATAAATAATAATATTGATACATGATGCTATACACTTCATTTAAAAAAACATAATTTATACTGCAAAAGCATACTTTTATCAGTGCACAACTTTCATGATTGATGAAACTAAAATATGTAGGTTATAATTTAAAGTTCATGAATTTGTTTTATATATTTTATAAAAATAATCAATTAGTTTAATGAAAAAAATGAGTCTGTTATGCTAGCAAACATTTGTAGTACCAAAGATAGCTTTAAGCTGACAAGAAATCAGGTTTCAAATCGGATGGATTCTTAATAGTCCAGACATCTTTGAAACCTTGTACTTGATGAGTTTTCTCTTAATGAACATCAAGATGGAATTCCTTCCGGTTTGCGACAGTTATTTAATTGATGATGGTTTGATTTTGTGATTTTCGACTTACATATCTATTTCACCTGTTAAAATCTTTTCAACTGCTATCCTTATCAACTTTTCATCTGTAATCACCTTCCTCCCATCTTAATTATACTTTGTACATCTTCATTAGTGTTTTTACATCTTTCAAGTTTGATTAGGGAATGAATATAAATATAAATCCATGTCATTTAACCTAATGTAAATTGAAGTTTAACACTATCTATTTGAAATAACTTTAAATGTGACTCAATACTATATTCATTCTGAGTTTGCTCCAAATAGATTTTTATACGCCAACATTATCATGTGGACGTATATTGTCGTCGCCCCTGTCCGTCCACAATTGTTTGTGAACAGTCTACAGGTCACAATTTTTATCCGATTTCAATGAAACTTGAATTATAGGTTTATCACCCTAAGATCTTGGTTCCTTTCGATATTGGCATGTATCGGACTGTAACTTCATGGATTATGGCCCCTGATTGTACGAAAAATCACGTTTTTAGCTTGTGAACACTGTAGAGGTTACAATTTTTATCCAATTTGGTTTAAACTTGAAATGTATGCTTATAACCCAAAGATCTTGGTTCCTTTCAATATTCGCGCATATCGGAACGTAACTTCCTGAATTATGGCCCCTGATCGTGGTTCCTTTCGATATTCCGCATATCGAACCGTAACTCCCTGAATTATGGTCCCTGATTGTACGAAAAATTGTGTTTTTAGCTTGTGGACCCTATATAGGTCATAATTTTTATCCGATTTAAAAAAAGATATTATTATATCACCGTTACACCCTAAGGACGGCTGAGTTCGAATTTCGTGAAAATCTGCCCAAAACTGACAGACAAAATGGCCGCCCTTCGTTCTCAAATAGCGTAAAAATATGGTATATCAAGTTTGTGGACCCTATAGAGGTCACAATTTTAATCCTATTTTGATGAAACTTGAAATGTAAGTTTATAACCCAAAGATCTCGGTTCCTTTCGATATTCGTGCATTTCGGAACGTAACTTCCTGAATTATGGCCCCTGATTGTACGAAAAATCAAGATTTTAGCTTGTGGACCCTATAGAGGTCATAATTTTTATCCGATTTAAGAAAACGTAGTATTATAGCACCGTTACTCCCTAAGGACGGATGAGTTCGAATTTCGTGAAAATCGGTCCAAAACTGACAGACAAAATGGCCGCTCCACGTTCTCAAATAGCGTAAAAATATGGTATATCAAGGTTGTGGACCCTAGTGAGGTCACAATTTTTATCCGATTTTGTATATCGAATTGTAATTTCCTGAATTATGACCCTTGATTGCAGGAAAAATCACTTTCTTTTTAGCTTGTTCTCTATCCATCTCTCGAAAATGTGGGCGTATCCTGCCAGGCAGCTGCTGGTTTCACTTATTAATAGACTACCAGTCCTGGTATCTATTAATTTATAAGATTCAGAAAAATATTTGACAACTTTTTATTTTACTTTTTTATACGCCCGCATAGAAATGTGGTCGTATATTGCTGACAATTTAGCTGCTGTGGGCGTATGTTTCGTTGCCTGGCAATCTATCTTGTCGTACCATAAAAATAGCTTTTCTTCAAATATATATTAGTTTTAAATTTTGTGAACAAGGCACTAGAATTAACAAACTTGCGTTTGTCCAAATCCCAGCTTTTATCTTTTTCGTAGTGACTATATAGGGCTGTGCCTATACTGTTTCTTTTCAATATCATGCATACTGTAAATACGGCAAGACGATATACAATACATATTTTTACTACACAATGATCAAGATTTATGTTCAAATTATGCTCAAGCATTCTTGAATTTTGAAACACATCTATTTTAACCCGTTTTATACGCCCACATTTTCATGTGGACGTATATTGTCGTCGCCCCTGTCCGTCCGTTCACAATTTGTTTGTGGACTCTCTACAGGTCACAATTCTTGTCCGATTTTGACGAAACTTGAAATATAGGTTTATCCCCAAAAGATCTCGGCTGCTTTCGATATTGGCATGTATTTGATTGAAACTTCATGGATTATGGCCCCTGTTTGTACGAAAAATCACATTTTTAGCTTGTGGACCCTATAGAGGTCACAATTTTTATCCGATTTTGTTGAAACTTAAAATGTAAGTTTATAACCCAAAGATCTCGGTTCCTTTCTATATTCGCGCATATCGGACCGTAACTTCCTGAATTATGGCCCCTGATTGTACGAAAATCACGTTTTTAGCTTGTGGACCCTATAGATTTTCATAATTTTATCCGATTTAAAAAACCGTATTATTATATCACCGTTACACCCTAAGGAGAACTGAGTTCGAATTTCGTGAAAATCGGCCCAAATTGACAGACAAAATGGCTGCCATGCGTTCTCAAATAGCGTAAAAATATGGTATATCAAGGTTGTGGACCCTATAGAGGTCGCAATTTTTATCCGATTTTGTTGAAACTTGAAATATAAGTTTATAACACAAAGATCTCAGTTCCTTTCTATATTCTCGCATATCGAATTGTAATTTCCTGAATTATGGCCCTTGATTGTAGGAAAAATCACTTTCTTGTTAGCTTGTTCTCTATCCATCTCTCGAAAATGTGGGCGTATCCTGCCTGGCAGCCGCTGGTTATACACACACATTGAAATGTCCTTTGGTGCCTATCAAACCATAACTTCCTGAATTACGACCCCTGATTGTACGTAAAATCACATTTTTAGCTTGTAGACCCCTCTAGAAGCTACAATTTTTATCTGAATTTAAAAAAAGTTTAAATGTATCACCGTTACATCCTAAATACCGGAACTTTCTGACAAAATGGCAGCTCTTTGTATGCAAATAGTGTAAAAGTATGTAATATCAAGGTACCAGGGTCTCAAACTTGGCCATTTATAAATTTCCTGGATCTCGCTGTGCATAATCGCGAAGACAATTTCAACATTCAACAGTCAAACATCTCAAAATGGCCAATTGTACATATTATATTTCAAGATTTACCAATTTGGAATGAAGCTTCTCCATTTTTAAATTAAATCATTAAATGGTCGAACTATGGGTGCTAATATACTTAATATTGGAGACAGCTGATAGCATCTAGAGTTGATTATGGTCTTGCCATGTTAATAAATGTAACATTTAAGGCCTAAAGAAAGACCTAAATCAAGAAGAATTTATTATCTATAAATAATAACAAAAAGCTGAATGCTTTATTTCGTAACATGGCATTTGAAAACAATCAAAATGATTTCTTTTTATTTACAAACCTTTCATAATAACGTGTTTAACAAATATTTTTATTACATAATATATTATATATTAATTTATTTTTATAAATAACATTGCACCATTAAAAACTTCATAAAATTTTATATGTTAAACTATTTAAATGTTAAAATCAGTTAGAGGTAATAACATGGAACATTTGTGGATTTTAATTGAAGATTCTCATGTTTTAGTAATCATTTGCTGTTGTAAATTAAATAATCATGTTCTATTCAGTGTAGCCTAAATATGGATAATGTAAAAAAAGGTCCAACATATTTATATTGTTGAAATATGTTGAGTTGTATAATGCAACAGAATTGGCATACATGAATAGTTGGTGTCATTTAAAGTATGTAATCAGACGTCTTAAGTTGCTTAATCAACAGACGACTAAATAACAAGTAGATTAAAGATATCAATGAATTGTCATCCCTCCATTTTACATTCCCATGAGTTTTCACCTTTGAAATGATTGTTTAGACACATAATCCCCCTTTAGCAATTTCAGTAAGCATATCACAGACAACTAAGCACATCTTAATTTCTTCTTTCTAACTGTCCCAGACGTATTCAAAAGTCAGCATATTGATTCTTCAAAACTAGCACTATTAGCTGAAGCACAGAAAGAATTACAATTAAGCAATCCATTTCGAGAAGTTATATTGAGGTTCCTTTTACCCCTATGAAGTGTATTATAACGGCATTTCAGCAGTTTCACAAAGGTCATTTTAAAAATACGATTAAAAATGGTGTAAATTATAGGATTTAATGTACTAGAAACATAACCCAACCACACGAAAGCAGTAATTAGTGTAGGATTAAAATGACACTTTTTACACAGTGCCATTAAAATATTGACCATAAAAAATGGCGCCCAACAAATGATGAATATCAAAAAGACAACTCCTAGAACCTTTGTGGCCTTTTGTTCTGTTTGAACAGAGTTATCTTTTCTAACAGAATCTTTTCTTTGTAAGAGGAGGTTAGCTGCTTTAATGGCGACATGATGTTTTTTCACTAGATCTCGAAGTGACTTTGATTCACGCTTGTGTATTGGATGATAATTGTTTGATTTTTTTTGCGATTGGTCATTTTTACGATCACAATTAAGTGAATTTTCAAAGGTAAAACTTTTTCTCTTTTCTTTAGTCTTGGGTGATTCCTGGGAAGGGTAAGGAACTGTGTTGCGTTTCTGTAGTGGTTGATAAGAGTTTCGTCCCTTATTAGTTTTGGACCCAGTTACTGGAAATGATTGTGAATATTTTACATTTTCATGTCGGGAAACATTGTTGTGGTTACTTTTCCAATGGCGTCTGCTGGTTGACCGGCGAATCATCGGTGCTCCATCTTTTTGACTCCCTTGACCACAGAGTTTGGCTTGTTTGTTAAGCATACGCACAGTTAGTCCATACATTATTATCATTATCACAAGGGGTATAAAAAATGCAAATATAGACCCATATATCTTAAAGTGCTCATTGTTTAAAGCACACATATCACCCATTAGCACATTGTGAGGTTTCAGCAGTCCTAATATTGTGATTGGGCTGGTTATGGCAATGGCTATTGTCCAAACTAGCACTATTTTCATGAAAACAACAGATTTTGATTTATTTTTGGTCCATAGAGGGTAACGTATTCCAATGTAGCGTTCAAGTGAAATGGTACACAGATGAAGAATAGATGAGGTGCACATGAGAACATCTGCAGTACAAAACAAATCACACAAAACCAATCCAAACAACCATTTACCTGCAATATAAGAAAGATAATTATAAATTAAATATGGTTAATAAAAAGTCAAAAGAATCAACCAACACTCCATATATCCTGACACTGATCCTGACAAACTCAAGAAATGCCAATGAGACCATTCATTTGGTTTGTTACTGCATTTGTTGTTTATTGCTTGCAATGTCTGTATGTTGTATATTATCTGCTGGGTTACTATGTGTTTTTTTAGGTGCAGTTCTCATTTAGTTACTAGGTGGCCCATAGGTGAACCTAGTTAGTCCACCTACTATTATTTCAGTAAATGCTTGTCATTTTTTGTACATCAGATTTTTGTTTGATTATCCTTTGGAATCAACAACATTGTACCTGATATTTATCACTATTTTGTTTTAATGAGTTTTCAATTGCAAGATGAGATCTAGCTATATGATTAATAAACACATTGAATTTCTGTAAGGGATAATTTAATCATTTCATTTTATTAACTGATGTAATTGGTAGTAGACGTACAGTCAGTCACTATTTAGCATGGGACTAGTTGGATTGTTGCTGATAGAACTATTTACAGACAAAACCCAAGAGAAGAAGTACTAATATGATAGGAATTAATGGAAGTCAGTCCCAATACCAATGTCCAAAAGATGCAGTTGTAAATTATAAATGGCTAAAACATGATATGGATGACATATTAAATGATTGATGCCAGGGTTTTGGGGGGGGGGGGGGTGTGCAATAATGTGATTATTGATTTATTTTTTTAATGAGTTCATATATTTATGTTTCTTTTGGATAAGGCAGATATTTTTACTGCATCATTTGATGAATCTTGCATTGTTTGATATATATTTCTATACACCCGCATTTAATGTATATTATTTGTCATCGTCCACGTATATTGATCTGTCGACCATTTCTTGACAAATAAAATTAAACTTTTTCAATCCCATATATCACAGTGTTTTTTCTACATATGAACGCTTGTGAAAGAGTTCTCAATGAAACTTTAATAAATTGGTAAGATTGATCATTGGGGTTTAAGGAAATATGAGGTCGGGAGGAAGACTATCGATATTTAACATATTTAGAACAATATTTTTTATTATTCATTGTGTATGATGTGTTTTCCTTGTTTTAGATTATACAAAATTTAATAGCACATTGAGCAGCACCTCATTGTTGAAGTGAAGGCGCTCTTAAATTTAGTATTACATATATTTCATCTCTGTTTCCATTCAACCTAAATCTTTGTAAATCTCGATTCAGGGCTGGTTATAAATTAAATTTTTAAAAACATTGTGGGGTTGTTCACTGAGTAGGGTAAACGTAATCTGATCTCAAATTTTGAATGTATTATGGAGAGGTATTTTTTTCCTGTTCACATTTTTGTTTTTAAAGATTGTGAACAATATACAGGACGAAGCTCTTGATGGAATTTTCTAAAATTGGGGAGTATTGTTCATTCAGGTATTAATCGGAACCCTCTTGATATTAAAAATATTTTTGGATATTTTTGTTTTGAACCTTGTGAATAAGATATAGATGTACACAAAGGATCTTTTGGTGTTTTTTTTGTACCACCAAACAAACTATATAAATGTCACCAAAAAAAAAAAATGTTGCGTGGTCATAGTTTAGACTACTTTTTTATACTTTCCACCTATGTGTTTACTTGTATAGTTGAATTTTACTACATATGCTTACATTCGTATTTCGTGTAGCATATAGCAGATCTTGACTCATGCTGGCATTACACAATGGGTTCTTTGGGTTGTATTCCTAATTGTTTTCAAATTTGAGTGAAGTCTGTGTCACTACAGACCTGGGACTGTACAGCGCAGTGGACGCTTACGGCTAGCCCCCGGATCCATTCACTTTTTTTGAATTGTCTGTATGTTTGTGTTTTCCTGAGTATGATGTCTTGTCCGTGTATTTGTCTTTGTGTAAATTTTGTGTGGTGCAGTCCCCCTGCACTTACTAATAGACTATATCAGGTAGTATATCATACATGTATATTCATTAATTATGATGTAATAAAATCAGTATTAATAATGTCTTCTACAAATACTTGAATTTAAAGTTGTTATTCTGCACTCTATTTTTTCCCCTTTCTTTCTTGTAATCAATCATCCATCCTCAACTTGATATCAAATGAATGATTTTAAAAGGATAGACATTAATTTTTTAAGTGTGTATTGATGTAATGACACACAGTTATATGTTAGAAGTTCATTAGCACATGGTCGTTTTGTTTTCGTTTTTGTTATTACTAATAACAATTCATGTTAATCAACCTTAATATGAAATCATTAGAATCTGCATTTCATCGTGATGTTGAAAGTACATCTTTAGAACTTATAACTAGTGCAGTTTTTGTAAAAGGATTGTAAAAAAGAATACAAGAAACTTAATAAATTGAACAAATAATTAATAATTGAACATAGGGACTATTAACAAAAAGAATAGAGAAGAGCAATATATTAGTTTTGTTGAATTTGTACCTTCTTGCTAATAGGGTTAAATTCACATAGACTTGCATATTATTAATTATGAAATTAATATCCAACTTTACTAAAATGGATAATTTCCGAACGTTAATATTCATTGACATTTGGTAATTATTACTCCCAATGCTCTTACATGTTTGTTACATAATTGTGCCAATAGTTGTAATATTATAGTATCGGTAATCAATAAATGTAGGTTTATAGGTTAAGGTGTTATCAGTGTTATGATTGGTCTATCATTACATCTTTATTTTATAGATCACTAGTTATATCTTACTTATTTCTTCTCAATTATCAATTAATTAAATAAAAGCCATAAAAATCAAATGATAACCTTGATTGACCTTTTTGTTTGTTTAGAAGTCAATGGATGCTTGATGGGTCTTTTTGCGATTATTACCAGATTAAGAGATCAATACAAGGCAAGTGGGTTGGTATCGATGGTAAGATGTAGAAAATGCCAATAATTTTCCATTCGCCCATCAACCGCACTTTTCCCCTCAATACTGCGGAAAAATGATTATGGAGATGAATTGGTTGGTTGATGTGTTAAAGGGGCACACAGCTATTTAAACACATAACAACAACTCTTGCCTCTTTGCCTATAGCTTGGCACTGCTTATTCAATCATAGGAGAAATTGCTTTTTACAGAATGGCAGCCTTTCGCACGACTTGACTCTTCGATTAAAGAATTGTGGCTCAGCAATTTACTCTGGAGATTTTTCCCTGGACTGCAAATTTGCATGTCAGAATTGAAGGGATCAAAGAGGGATAAAGACGTTGGAATTTAGACTTGTCATTGTGACACCTTTTGACACTTTCCCTACAACTTAATGTCTGAAGGCTGTGATTTGGATATCTAGCCTTATTTCTTTTCTCAAGCATGAAATTTTATAGATCTGCTATGAGATGTAATTGGGTGCGTGTGTTAAGGACAAATTTTCTTGGAGATTCAATCAATATAGATAATTAAGAAAATTTAAATCCTTTCTATATTCCTTATGAGAAAAGTGGGTGAACAATGTTTAAAAATACTTTTGTACCAGTAATTGTCAACTGTACATAACTGGATAGTTCATCAACTCAAGGTCTGGGATCCCTAGGGGAAAACTAAACAAGTTATAAGTTGTGTCTTAATTATTTCCCAGCCAACAAAACCCTCATAGATATTAGATATTATACGTTATGTAAGATTTAGATAAAAAGCTGGCCATTCTTGCTATAATAGTCCCAAAATAGATAATGCAAAATGAATTAAAAATTTCATTGAAATTACTTTATTCTGAGCGAAGATATTAGCCTCTGAAGATTTGACAAGATGTGTGTACTGATTGTAACCACCGTACTGGTTGTTCAAAGCTTAGCCTCGCTTCACCATTTTAGTTTAAATCATTAAATGTTCTAATCTACTTAAAATCGAACATATCCAATGGCATCGAGACTTTATTATGGTCTTGTCATGTTAATAATAAATGTCTAATCAATAGTTTACATAACATTTAAGGCCTAAAGAAAGACCTGCAATAGACAGATTTAGCTCTTGCATAATGCCTGTTTAAACCTTGTATTCTAATATATTAATAAAGAAGATGTTGAAGTGTTGTGATAGCTGCAAAGACTTGGTCTGCTGATTGTGTTTGGTTTAGCTGTGTTCTTGGAAACTTTAAGGCAATATAATTGTAATTTGTGTATGGAACTGTCCATATAGGAGGAATGACTTAAATATGATTAGACATTTTGTCACCCAACAACTCTGAATGAAACCACTTAATAAAACCATATCCTAGGTCGTTGAGTCAGGCTACTTTGTACATGGAATAAGTCATTCAACCCTATATGAAGGTATATCAAATTCGATCCAGCAAACCATTGTTTCTTTTATCAATTGACAACAAATCGAGGCTCTAATGGCAGAACAGGTAACACAATGTCATGCCCAAACAAATACAGATAAATGTCTCACTGTAAAAGATGGGACATAAAGACTTGCAAAACAAATTACTTGAGTGATAAAACTAATATCTTTTAAAAAAAGACAGTCAACCACTATACACGAATGTAAAATAAACACCATCCATTTGTTTTAATACTTTTTAACAACAAATTAGGAGTACATAAAGGCAGGAAATACTAGGTACCTCATTAAGTGCTCAACAAAATACCATCATGATTGGATAAACACAAAATACATTATTTACGATTTCATTGCAGGGAATAAAGCTTAATTTTAAAACTTTCTTGGGCTCCCATGAGAAATGCTAGATACGTCACTGGAGATTCAATGTCACTTGCACATCAAAGACTCCCCTGGCATTTTCAAATGACAAGGCATGCCCAAACCTGTATCTGTCCACAGTGGATCATTCTGCTTCGAAAACCGACTGGTAACTGAAGTGGAAAGCTGTTATATTTCACTAACGTCACTTACTTTTATAATCTTACGAAGATTAATAGCCCTTATAATACTGCTAAAATTACTAGGTACTTAATAAATCTACAAATGACATTTGACT